TAAGTAGATTGGAATCTAATGGCATCATAAAGAAGGTAGCCTATTCCGATTGGGTAACGCCCATTGTGCCAGTGTTAAAGAAGGATGGTTCTGTAAGAATTTGTGGAGACTATAAAGCTACACTGAATAGCAAATAGAGCTAAATAGGTATCCTATTCCTAACATTGAAGAAATTTCTTTGAATTTGGCAGGAGGAGACAAATTCACTGAATTAGACTTTAGTCATGCTTACACTCAACTAGAACTGCATCCAGATTCAAAAGTCTATACGACAATAAACACACATAAAGGACTCTACCAATATGAAAGACTATGTTTTGGTATATCATCCAGCCCTGGAATTTTCCAAGCTGTCATGGACAGTATTTTTAAGGACATTCCAAATGTTTGTGTTTACTTTGACAATGTGTACATAACTGGTAAGAATGGTTGGCCTGAAGAGTCTATGAATGATGACTTAAGGCCATATAAAATAAGAAAAATGGAGTTAAGTCTAGAAGATGGATGTGTACTATGGGGGTCAAGGGTTATTATCCCCAAAATGTTACAAAAAGAACTTTTAAGAACTTTACATGATACTCATCTTGGTTCTTCCAAAATGAAGAGTCTTGCACGCTCGTGGTTCTGGTGGCCACATATGGATGCTGATATTGAAAAATATGTAAAGCTTTGTTCAAGCTGTGCACAACATTCAAATCAACCAGCTACAGCATCTTTGCAAAACTGGGACTGGCCAATCGAACCATGGAAACGTATACATATAGATTTCGCAGGACCCTTCATGAACAAAATGTTCTTAATTGTTATTGATTCACATTCTAAGTGGTTAGAAGTTAAAATCATGAACACAATCACTGCAAATGATACCATTATAGAATTTAAGGAAATATTTTCAACTCATGGATTACCAGATCAAATTGTTTCAGATAATGGTCCTAGTTTCACTGCTCATAAGTTTAAACTGTTTTGTGTAGCAAATGGTATTGAGCATATAACCACATCACACTATCATCCTGCTGGGAATGGTTTGGCTGAAAGAGCGGTAGGCATATTCAAAACCGCTATGGTAAAAATGAGTACCGGTAACATGTTTTCTCTCAGAGAAAGAGTAAACAGGTTCTTAGCCAAATACCGCACCTCCTCATATAACAACAGGTGTTGCACCATGCGAATTGCTATGTAGTAGGAAAATTAAAACTCATCTTGACCTACTACATCCAACTGTTCAAAGGTCTGTTTCCCAACATCAACATACACAAAAAGTAAATCATGACAAAACATGCATTGAAAGAGAATTTGGTGTTAATGATAATGTGTATCTGAGAAATTATGGGAGAAGGGAAAAATGGATACCAGGTCAAATTGTTCAATGTACAGAACCTGTGTCTTATAAAGTAAAAACAAATGATGGACTTATTGTCCGTATACATGCAGACCAGTTAAAAATAACTTGTGCAGATAATAATTGTGAATCTATCAATCCCACCAAATCTGAACAGTTCACAACAACTCAGTTTGTTCCACAACCAAGTTCTGTTGATATGAGTGAACCAAGTAGTCTAGAGTCAGAAAATGTAAATTCTGGAATTAATGATTTGGATCCTAGATTTCCTGAGATAGAGAATCCATATGGTCAGAATCTTGAGTCACCAAATCAAAAGCCACTGAGAAGGTCAAACAGGACAATCAAAGTCCCAGATAAGTTAGACCTATGATTTTAAAGGTCAAAAAGACTTTGACATCATTGTTTTGTATCTTGATTATGTTGTGGCATATTGTGCATTGTTTGTAAGGGTGTAATCTACCATAATGTTCATGTTACAATATATTTCGTGATTTTAGGATACTATCAATTGTTCTATTGAGAGATGTGTTGTTGTTTACTAAGGGTAAAGGGATGTAATATATTGAGATTTGTGAAGTCAAGGGAACTCACTCTTCTTGTATTAGTTATATTTATAATGTTGTTATTGAGTGATGTCCCTTGTATTTATCTATCGTTACTTCCTCTCTCTCTTTCCGTCATGTAGCTGAATAAAAAGACTAGTTAACAATCAACGTGGCTTCTGCGTCAGTGTATTATAATAGAACAGCTCCAATCCACCACAGTATTTAAGTTATCGTGTTCATAGACAGACACACACACACATACAGAAAAAATAGCAAAACTAAGTGTTTCAGACTCAGGTGTAAAACGTCGAGCTTTGTGAAACTCTCGATTTAGAATTTTGCACAAGTACAATACTTTCTCTATGCTTCGTATAAAAGAAAGTAAAAATAGAAAGAGTGCGCACGTTTTAGTTAGTCTTCGTCTGGTCATGTTAGGTAGCGAAAACTTTAGTCTGTTCTCGTAAGAGTTAACATGTGTCCCGGTAATGACAGTCTATATAAAGAAGGAAGGCTCATCGCTATCTAAGCCACCAAAGAAAGCCAGTCTCGTCTTGTTTACTATAGTAGATGTTTGTGGTGTCATAACAAGTCGTTGAAGATAACAGATTGTTTTGACTCGTAACGACCAAGACAACTTAAAATGAAAAACTGTAAATATTAAGAGTAACTTTGTCACTTGATGCAATTCTAACAAAACTGTTGACAATTTTTTTTCAGCTACAATAAACAAACCGCTACATAAATGTACACGCGTGCTCGAATGCATATACACATACATATACCAATACGCATAATTATACATAAGCATGCATATTAAATACTCATTCCCACTCTAAATACATAAACACACCCACAACTTTGATCATATCTGCAACATAATTCATCCATTTTGCCAATAGCAAATTAGCTTATTCTTTTGCGTCGTTTTGTTATGAAAATTAATGTTTTGTTTTGTTTTTAAAATTACTAGAGCGTCTTCTTTTCTGAATAAAATGGCTAGAACGCTATGAACATAATGGTTAAATTTTTCAAAAAACTAATAATTTACAAAACATACACCGAGACATAAAAATATACATTCACTTACATCTGCGTATGATTACAGTAAGATTACGCATATACGCCATACTCAAACTAACATTACTACTTATTCACATATCTTTATACCCTTACACCTACCCATAGACGGTGACTAAAAAATATGCAACAGAACAGTGAGAACTTGATAAATGTGTACAAAACATGAGCACCTGAAAATTGCGAACAAAAAAGAGATAAGCAAACAAACAATCTGAATGCGCAAATTTCTCATTTAGTGTTTTCTGTGTGCTCAAATTTATGTGCTCAAATTTCTATGTGCGCATTTCACCGTTGCGCATTTTCTATTGGCATTTTTCTGTGAACCACCCATAGTCATACCCAACTAATACATCAACACTCATATTGATAGTAAAACACACACTTGTAATCAGTATTACGTTTTAAATAATTTTAAAAATATTTACCTTATATTTCTTAGTAGTTCTATAATCAGCATCAATGTTTTGGGTATCTTTTGCGATTTCGTTTTCGTCTTCTAATTGACTAGGAAAGGGTTCGATCAACTGCTGCAATAAATATTTCCATAGACTTTGACTTAAACAGACTATATATTCAAATTAGCATACACTTACTTTTAATTACAAACTAAGTAAGTGCCTAAGTTTTAATTTGTGAATATTACCTTACTTTTTTTCTCTGTATATTTTGCGTGTCATAGACACTACACCAAACTATTAACCACTTTAAAAAAACACATTAGACAGAAAGTTTTATTATGATACTTGTGTTGATATATAATGGAATTCTTACTCAAACGAATGCTTAATTTTGACATTTTCTGCTTTAAAAAAATACTATACAATCGATTGAAAATTAATTACTTTGAAAAGTTAGCTCCCTTGTACATAGACCGAAAGAAGTAGTCTTTGTTTACTTTTGTAACAAAAAACTGCTATTTTTATATAAGAAAACAGCATCTGGTCAGATTTAAGGACCCTCCTCCGATTTTAAGAAGGGCAGAACGTTTTGTTTGTTATACCCTAGGGTTGTTCTACGACGTCTCGGAGCCTCATAAGGGTTCGTCGAGCAAAATTAATTTTCAATATAAAACTCATAAAAGGAGAATTTCACTCGCGGTCAATTTTGAGCCCTCGTCAAGGGCTTAGAGTCTGACCGTCAGTTTTCCCATACGGCCTATCAATTTATCGAGGAACATGCAAAAAATTAGCCAGATGTACAGAGAATGAGTACCCAAAAATCTTTTTGAAAATTACCATTTATTTTTTACGTAAATTATAAATCTTGTATAGTGAAATACGACTGGTCAGTTTTGACCGCTTTACCGAATTTTCACAGATATGACATTAACAGATCAGTACGCGGGTGGTGGTGGTGGTTGTGGTGGGAGGGGGTGGGGTTCAACTTCATTCACCACTGTCAGGAAACACAGCGTCAGTTTTTTGCCCCATGCCAACGCCACTACTCAAAGAAAATATTGTTTAGTGCTATTTTTTTAAAACTTGCTTTTTTTTTCCTTTTTTTGCCGACAAAACAAAATGATTTCTTATATGTCAGCGTATTCATCCGTGAATAAAGTAATGAATATACACTCTGCGATCGCCGAAGTAAAAGTTTTTTATCGGTCATTGTTAATATAAGATGTAAAAGTTATATTACTATTGATTAGATAATACTATTGAGTTTTATTAGGGAGCTTGTAGAGAGTCAACAGTATTAGAAACTATAAGAAAATCACGGCGCACCACGTTTTTAATTTTTTGTCATAATGCGCACGCAGTTTGCGATCGCTTTTAGTAGAGTGATCGCTTGCATTATTGTGATGTATAGCATTTATTTTCTACTTTTTAGTTCAATCAGAAACGTGGGTTTTTTTTTTAAATTTAATGATAATTATTTTCTACTTTTTAGTCTTTGTCTGTTTGTTTGCATTCAAATCTTGCTATCGATTTTATCTTCTCGCATTCACTTTTTTTTGGGTAAACGAAGACAAACACTCAAAAGGACGAACACAAAGATAAAAGGGACTTATACCAGGCATGACACGCTTATTATTCAGGATCAGCTGAAGGTTCGTGTCGACGCATTCTTTCCATCTCCTGTAGACATTCCTCATTGCAGGTTTTTTTTTCGGTTAGCTTGCTGCAATCCAATTCCACAATGCGTACGCCTTCGAGTAATCGTACTCGACTGAGCGCAACATACGCCTGGCCCGTTTCAAAAAGCGCTGGTCCTAAATAGACAACTGCGTGATCAACTGTCCAGCCTTGCATTTTGTGCACTGTGCATGCCCAGCATAGAATTATGGGCAGTTGTCTTCGCTCGACTTTTCCATAACTCAGTTTTTCATCCAATTCTACGCATCTCGGCTCAATCCGATGGATTCCATCTGGCCCAAAGTCAATGCTTAAGTCGGGAATGTCTTTATCAATCTGGTCGCGTCTGAAATTTGGCCAATGAATTTCTGTAATGTTGCCGATTGCGCCATTAACCAGTCCCTTTTCAACGATGATGTTCGCTCTCAACATCACTTTAGCGCCGAGGAATATTTCCATTTCCTTTTGCAATCCTCCAGTCTTAATCGCACGAGCAGTAGCATGACGCACTCAATCTTTTGCTTTACGAGAGACACTTTGTTCTTCTGTCTCCTTCGCTAAAGCAGCAGATTTTCGGTTTCGATCTCTTTCAAGCTTCTTTTGAAACTCACCTTCTTCCATAAGTTTTGGTCGTTTAGGAGGATTTTCCAATCTGTATCCTGCATTGCGCTTCTCCTGATACTTCTGGCGTGCCTTTTCCAATCGACGTTTCTTCTGTGTTGCCGTTTCTTTCACCATTTTCCCTCGCGTGCAAACCATTCGACCATCAACATTCTACTTCCGGATCAGTCAGATTTGCATAGGTTTGTACACAAACACCGCGTGACTACTACTCAGCCAATCGCGTGCTCGCTCCTTCATGTTTCATTTGTTTTTCAGTAAGCCAGAAGAGGGAAAGTACCAAACCTTGTTTTTATCAAATTACAATTACTAGGTTATGTCCTTTTTTTGTACAAATCAATAGGAGTCTAAAATGATCAATAAAATTTTTCCATGGATCAATTTAGTAATAATAATAATTGAATATTGTATTGTCATCGGAAACAAAGCTTCCCTGAAAATTTTAGCGCACTAGCTAACTGGGAAGTGCCCGAAATTTCGATCGCAAGATTTGATGGAAAGACAAACAGACGCGAAAGCAAGTTAAAGAAAAAGTGGGAAAAAAGCTCAGACATGCCTGTTTGAATATTACTGATTATTCTAGACGAGGCAAACATATTAAAATACGCTCAACATTTTGTTGTGTGTGTATTAAAACATGACAATGTACTTGAGCTTTTCTAGCCTAAAAGTTCGACATCATTTTATACTTTAAAAAGAAGTTACATTTTCAATAGTGTCTTCTTTTACGACTAGATAAAAACAGTTAAAAGTGTAAATGCCTAAAAACAATTACTTACTGCAGTATGATATGTAATTAGTTTAAACATATTTTCCCATGTTACAACATATTAGTGCTTTACCTGTGTAAAAGATGGAAATTCATTAAAAGCAAATGTAAATGTGAATGTGAATGTGAATGTGAATGTGAATGTAAATGTGAATGTGAATGTGAATGTGAATGTGAATGTGAATGTGAATGTGAATGTGAATGTGAATGTGAATGTAATAATATAATGTAATAATATAATGTAATAATATAATGTAATAATATAATGTAATTATATAGTGTAAATAAAACAATAATAATAATATAATAATAATATTATGTAAATAATAATAGTATAGAAACAAAATGTCCAACCCCAAAACAAGCTATTAAAAAGTATTTTTCCCCATTTAGTGTTTCCGTTAAAGGGAAATACAAATGTTTGTGTGATCTATCAAGGGAAGTAATTGGCAATAAAGGAACAATGTGAAATAATTTTTAAATTTTTGTGAAGGATGATACATTTTCTTTGACTTTGTTTATTCCACGTGACGTTAATTAAAATGGTAAGTTTGGAAATTGTAACTTATTTTACAAAACTATCTACATTATTTTTTAATCAATCATTTAGATAATAAACTAGCCTTCGGTATCCGTTACACATGAATTATAGGCCTATATATTTTTAATGTTATACATATTTGGAAATAATAAGTTATAAAATAGTTATTGATCAAAATGCAACACTACACGTTGAGATATTAGTGCCAAAACAAAGAAATAACTCAATAGCTAAAAATCCGGAACAGTTAAATAAACAAAGGCTACCAATATCCTAATCTATATATACATATATATATATGGTTCCATGACAAATGATCTCAGGACAAATGATCTCAGACAAAATATCTCAGACAAAATATCTTACGGACAAATGATCTCAGGACAAATGATCTCAGGACAAATGATCTCAAGGACAAATGATCTCAAGGACAAAAGATACCAGGACAAAATATATCAGGACAAATGATATCATGGACAAATAATCTCAGACAAAATATCTCAGACAAAATATCTCACAGCAAAATGTTGATAGTATGTGCAATGATTTTAGTTCATTTGAACTTTTTTTTTAAATTGACTGTCAATATGGTTTTGTTTAATTTCTTTACGCATCATAATTGTGAATAAAATGACTTTGTTAAACTTAACAAACCATCAAAAGATTTATTTAACTCAATCTCTGTAATGGCCTTTGATTTGAAAAAATAAAAATTAAAACAAATTTTCTCCTTTAGCCTGAAAGGTATGATAAATGATAATGTATAAAACAAAGTAACGGTAGCTATACATTAATAATGTTTAAAACATGCGAAATATCTTTCAAAAATGTGAATGGGTCTTAAGGTTCGTAACGTAAAATTATTGTTTTTATTGCATGATCAAGACAAACATAACGTTTAAGTTTCTTTGCTGACAGTACATTGTTATGATCACACCTCTCCAATACTATATGATCATGTATTGTTTGAACTCTTGCTCGACATGTTCTAACTCCGCAATGACCGCTGTTTGTCTTAAATAAGCATTTGTGACCTGATCACTAAGGTGTGACCGACGCATAACTATTGAATTTAGCTATTAGTTGTATTGTTCATGGAGGGCGGATGTCTTTCCAATAAGGCATGTCTCTACCATCAAAGTGGGCTGCCACCTTGATACGAAGGTGTTTCTCTATTGTTATTTCATCCTCTAGTTTCGTTCACCTGACATGGTTGGATTGTCTCATGTTTGGCAAGCCCGTCTACGCTGTCTATCGAACAATTTCTTTAATCTTCTATAGTAATAATCCTAATTTTAAAATGCAATATACAATTTTAAAAGTGCAATATGATAAATTTATACGGCAAACATTTCTTACAATTATCATATGCGCCTATAAACAATATTAAACATATTAAACAAAACCATACGACAGTTAATAAAAATTGTTCAGATCAACTAAAGTCACAATACACTATTAAAATTTAGGTGTGAGATATTTTGTCTGAGATATTTTGTCTGAGATCAATTGTCCATGATATCATTTGTCCTGATATATTTTGTCCTGGTATCTTTTGTCCGTGAGATCATTTGTCCTTGAGATCATTTGTCCTGAGATCATTTGTCCTGAGATCATTTGTCCGTGAGATATTTTGTCTGAGATATTTTGTCTGGGATCATTTGTCCTGAGATCATTTGTCCTGTCACCATATATATATATATATATATATATATATATATATATATATATATATATATATATATATATATATATATATATATATATATATATATATATATATATATATACATATATATATATATATATATATATATATATATATATATATATATATATATATATATATATATATATATATATATATATATATATATATATAATTATCTTCTTGGAGACCATAGAAAACACCAAGCTGTAAGCGCGCCTAACAGCCCCCTCTCTTCCTCTCTAGGCATATCCCTACCACCCCCACCCCCACATGGTCTGGTGAGCTGTGGTTCACGCTAAATGTTTACAATCGTAGAGTCGGGTTTAGCGACCCGCTATTAGGGGCACATAATTTAGTTTGAAACGATTTTAAACTTAGGGGAGGTAATTAAGAGGAGGCTGCTTTCATGTGAGGGGGGTGTAGGGAAGGGGTTTGGGGAAAGGAGGGTGGGGGAGGGGGTTATCGTCCTTAACTACCTACTGATAGTATTTTAAAGCAAATATTTTCAGTGGCAGCATTGGTACTGTCGAATTCACAAATTATGAATTACTGAAAAGTAGAAAACAAAACAACTAAATAGCGGCATATGATAAACCGCGGGTCGGCTCGTATATTATTAAATAGCTATTAGTCAAAACGCAAAGTGCTTTACTACACGTTCAACAATATTAGTGACCATGCAAAGATATAACTAAATAGCTAAAGATCCGACACATTTAAAATACCAGAGACTATTAATACGTATTCGAAAAATTAAAACCAAATTATATACATTACTAGCCGTCCCGGCCAGGCCCTGCTCTGGCTTCTGTGAAAAACCTTTCTGTTAAAGACCATTACCTGTGTGTTTAGCAATCATTTTAAACCCGGCATTGCCCACCCGAACCACAACCAACCAAAACCAAAACAACAAAACGCAAACATAACGCTAACACAATTACAAATACCAACGAAAACAAAAACCTAACAACAAACCCAACCACAACCACAAACACCAATACAAACACAAAGAAAAAACAAACAAAAAAGCAAACGAAAATAAAAACCTAACAACCAACCCAACCCCAAACACCAATACCAACACAAAAAAACAACGAAAAAGCAAACGAAAACAAACCAAATCCAAACGCAAAACCAACCAAAAACACAAATACAAACCCAAACACAAACAAAAACGAAAAAAGAAAGAACAAAAACGAACCAAATCAAAACGCAACCACTAACGCAAACCCACCTAAACACAAAGAAAACACTAACGCGAACATAAACGCCCGGGGCGGAATCACCTGTTTTAGCTTAATGAACGACTATAGTAGCCCAACTTATTCATAGTCTTTTGCACTCACTTAAACGAACGCGCCTGTTTCAATTTAATGAACAATTATAATACTCCAAGCTTATCAGTAAAATACCTACAACATTTGCACTTGATCAATCCCCGCTAATTATGTAATTATTTTTTCCCAACACCAAAACAAAGTAATTAAAAAGTAAATTCTTTTCAACTAATGCAATGGTTTTATAAAGGGAAGTAATTGTGTTTTGCCTAATTTATCAAAGGGAAGTAAGTGCTATAGGACTAAATAAAGACATAATTAGAATTTTTGTAAAAGATGATATTTTTATAAAACTTTTGTTTAATGAACATGCCGACAATTATTACTTTCAGTTTAAAAAATGAAAATTATTTCCCAACACTTTCAACAGTAATTTTTTAACTCATAAATTTAGACTGTGAGCACGGTAAATAGTCTAACATTTAAATCTATAGAAGTATGTCAACGACAAACATGTACTTTTGCATACAGAACTGAGCT